GCCAACTCTGCCATTCCCTCTCATGTCTTTAATATCTCTCTTTGGACCCTCGAGTTCTGCCAGTGAAGGCTCCCTGGTGACAGCTGGACGTTGCCGTCGCATTTGGGAGACAGCGGCGGGGGTTTGTAGCGTTCCCAGCCCCGGGGCCTGTGGGGATTCTGTGATGGCTCGCCTGTCAGCCGGCCCCTCCCCTGTAATTAGGAGAGTAAACACAGTGCCTGGCTCAGCTTGGGGGGAAAAGAGGAGGGAAAGGGGGAGGGAGCAGGCCGGCTCCTGTCCTCCTGCTACTTGAGCTGTCCAGGAGCAGCTTTGTCCTGACACAGTCACAGACGCAGCCCTTCTCTAGGTTCCTGTCTCTTCCCTGATGAGCATCAAGTGGCTCTCCACTTTCCCGGTGAACTTGGCAAGAGAGCGTCTGTCACTTCAGGAACAATGAGTCTCAGCGTCAGAAAGTAAAGAATCCGGGCACGTCGCCATCTGCTGTTGACTTTATTGATAGAAGATTCGGGGAGTCGGTGTGAATATTAGCACCGGGTTTGAGTGAAACCCTACGATAACAATATCCATAGTGTAGTGGTTATCATGCCTGCCTTACACACAGCAGGTCCTGGGTTCAAGCCCCAAAGGAAGCACATTTAATAGCACCTCTGGTGGCAGTCAAAAACATTATAAGTAGGAGTGATTTTTAAATTTTTTTTTTATTTTACCTCTACATTGATGGACACCTGAGCTGGCTGAAAATATCAAGGTGGCTCAACATAAGTCCCTGCTTCATCAAGCACTCCCTCACACACTGACACAGGTTCTGCTACTGACAACAAGGAAAAGAACCAGTTCAGACTGGTTGTCATGACGACGGCTAAAGACTCCAGGTGTCAGGTCCTGGACTAATCTGTGTCGTCAGCCTCACCTGTGACCTGGGCTTCTCTGTTCAACAGCCTCACTGCTCTCACCTCCTGCACAGGTGAGACACTCGCCCTCACCCTCGTCCTCACTGTGGAAGGACTCCAGGTCCACGTCTGTCTCTCCAGGACTGTCTCTCCAGGACTGTCTCTCCAGGTCTGTCTCCATGTGTCTTCAGGTGAGTCTTGATTGTCTTCTCCTCTGTCTCTGTCTCTGTCTCAGTTCGGCCCGTGAGCCGAGGACGACACCAGGCCTCAGTTTACACCAATTAGACAAACATTCACTGCTTCTTAGACGTGTGTGCGTGTGCACATACATGTGTGTGTGTGTGTGCACATACATGTGTGTGTGTGTGTCCAGCTGTTTCTCTTAGAAATGTCCATATTGTCTTATATATAATGGTAACAATGTCACTCTAGGTGAAAAGTATTGCAAGAATGTATGTACTATATGTACTAAGTGGTGCAGTACTGTGTGATACAGTAGTATTTGTGGAGCAGTAGTATTTGTGGTACAGTTTGATTTCTGCTTCATTAGTATTTGTGGTACAGCAGTATTTGTGGTACAGTTTGATTTCTGCTTCATTAGTATTTGTGGTACAGTTTGATTTCTGCTTCATTAGTATTTGTGGTACAGCAGTATTTGTGGTACAGTTTGATTTCTGCTTCATTAGTATTTGTGGTACAGCAGTATTTGTGGTACAGTTTGATTTCTGCTTCATTAGTATTTGTGGTACAGCAGTATTTGTGGTACAGTAGTATTTGTGATGCAGTAGTATTTTTGGTGCAGTAGTATTTGTGTTGCAGTAGTATTTATGGTACAGTAGTATTTGTGGAGCAGTAGTATTTGTGGTACAGCAGTATTTGTGGTACAGTTTGATTTCTGCTTCATTAGTATTTGTGGTACAGTAGTATTTGTGATGCAGTAGTATTTTTGGTGCAGTAGTATTTGTGGTGCAGTAGTATTTGTGTTGCAGTAGTATTTATGGTACAGTAGTATTTGTGGTGCAGTAGTATTTGTGGTGCAGTAGTATTTGTGGTACAGTTTGGCATTAGCTTCATTTTTATTCCTTCATAAACACCAAACACTGCAGTTTTTAAAATGAAATAAAAACCAAACATTTGTTCCGTGCGGCCCACAGACGTGGGTCACTCCAGACGATCTGACCCATGTGGGTTTTATTTCAGTAGTGATGAGGAGCG